GAGGTAAGACTGTGTAAATTAGATTTTTCGCTGAACCATTCATTTAAGATGACCTGCTGCTGGAGGGACGTTAGCGGCAGGACACGTCTGTCAGCACACAACCTATTAATGGCTGACAACAGATGTGAACTTTTAATCTAAGCTGCATTTCAGCTATTTCTACAAGACTACTTTATATATATGTCAAGACTATTATAGAATCAAAATCTCGTTGGTTGAAATAGCACTACAGTGGGGGTCCAACTGGCGTATCCCTCAAGAGCACCAACCTTGATGACTTTGTTCGACCTCCATTTTTTGTGGCGATCTGCTTTTGAGTACTGCATTGTTTTAGCACTGCAGGGAAGTGAAACTGTGTGTATGTTTCGTCCCTGCTCTCATTCACTAACAGATCACAGGGTCTGTTGTGTGTGTCTGTGTGTGTGTGTGTGTGTGTGTGTGTGAGAGCACGGAAATCCCTGCTTGGTAGTGTTGAGGCTCAGTAACCTATCTAGGCCCACTTCCCCAAGTCTCTCTCACTCTTAGCCTAGTGCAGAAACCTGTACATGTGCATGCGCGCACACACTCACGCAGAATGCAGGCAGAAATGGTCTCTCGCTCTCTCACCCTCTCTCTCTCTCTCCTTCTCCCAATGCCCCTTTCCTCCTCCCGTTGAGAAGTGTAGGGAGACAGAGTACACAGTAAAGGCAAAAGCACAGTCTTTCTCACTGCTGTAGAAAACTCAGGTACACATACACAAAGCATACAGGCTCCATCTCTCTCTCTCTCTCCCTCTCTCTCTCTGTAGAGACTTGAAGAGAAACTCAACACACGCACACCCAGCATAGTTGTCTGTTGCCCTCTCAGAAAATTTCCCTCTGCAGTAACCTGTAGAAACACCACACGCTCTCAGCACACAGATAGAGAGACTACTGAGCGTTCATTATTCTTTGTGTATTATTCCGTATGTACGAGTGTTGGTCTGCAGAAGCCTGATACTTCTGGGCAAATGGGCAAGTGGACACGTTTGAGCCCCCCCCCTTCTTTTTCCCTTCGTCTTCGGAGAGATGTGGGCTTGGATAGGAGCCAGTGTATTCTTTCTTTTCCCTCAACTTTTGTTGTTGATCCCCCTCTTCCTTTCTCCCCACAGGCACAGGGCCGTGTGTTGTTTTATGTACGCGTCCCCAGCCGTTTCTTCTTCCATGTGCTTTTCTTTGTCTTTTCTGCCTCTTATCTCTTTGTTTCTTCCCTTGCACTCTTTCTATTTTCTCTCTCCCCCCTCTCTCTCTCAACTTCCTGCTATCTTTCCCCTCACTCACACCCTCCCTCAATCTCTCTTTATCTCTGTCTGTCTCCCTCCCCTCCCTCTCTCTCTCTCTCCCTATCTTTTCTCTCCCTCCCTCCCTCCCTCCCTCCCTCACTCTCTCACTCACGCACACATTCATCTCACTCACTCTTTCACAGCCCCACACACTCTCTCCCTCCCTCCCTCTTTCTCTCTCTCTTCCTGCTTCTCTCTCACACATTCTCCTCTCTCTACTCTCATTCTCCTCTCTCTCTCTATTCTCCCCTCCAAGGTTTGATTTTTTTTTTTTCTTTCTTTCTCTCTTTCTTTCCTTTTTCCCATGGATTGCCCTTTCCTGCTCGGTAATGAAAAATGTTCCTCTGCTCCTCATACAGTACACAGCGCTCAGGTGTGTTTTAGCTCCAGAACTGAGAGAAGGGGACACTGTTTAAATGGGAATTCCACTTGTTTTTCAGAATTTCTGCATAATTTAGTGGTAAAGATGTAAACAAAGACATTCTGAGTGGTTCGATCTGAAATGTGCCGTTCTAGAGAAACTTACCGACTCAGAATTGTTCACAATGGCAGTGATAGGAACCAGATATCCAAAGGGTTTAATGCCTCCAAAAGCAAATGCACAGAAAGTTATAACATGAAACGATTTGAATATATTGCCCAATGTTTAAGACAGTGCTTAAAGGTAGGTTTGACAGAAGATTTTTAAAGATCCATTAACGATGCAGGGCATTGTAAGGTAAAATAGTTTCCAGAGAAAACTTATTTTTTTCAGATTTACTATTTTACCATCATCAACATGACATATAAAAACTCAGAAAACACATGTAAATTCACTGGTCATCTTTGGTTTGAAAATATTTATTTATATATATATATATATATATATATATATATATATATATATATATATATATATATGCACTGTAGACATCGCAAAGCCCTGGTTCCTACAGATATATTATAAAGGAGGAGGAGACAGCGCCCAGAGCCCAGTGTCGTTGTGGAGCTATGCACATGTGCAGTAGCCAGAACAAGCTGAAAAATAAGCTACAAACTAATTATGCAAATTTCTAACAGTGATTGTAAATATTTGTCTTGAAACGTTAACAAGGCTTTTAGTTTTGGGTTTAGGTCTCTCCCCATTCTAAGAGAGTCTGGGGTCTAATTTATAAATCATACTGAATGATTTGTGAAAATATTGTTCATGAATCACACACTTCGACTGAGTGCCAGACACTCACCTTTATGGACCGTTTGTACGTCAGATTGGAAACCTGTGTTGATATATGTACGCAAAGTAACGTACAAATCACTGCTTAAAAATGAATTTTCACTTACGAACAGTTTAAGATAAAATGTGTACAGTAATACAAATGTTTTATAAATAAGGCCCCTGTTATTGCATGACTGGAAATAATATTGTCTATATATATATGCTGAGTGGACAGACTTTCCTATTAGAACTTCATCACCATCACTGTAAAGAAATACAAATAGCTAAGTTTCTCTATAGGGCAGCATTTCACATCAAAATACTCTAAATACTCTGAATGACTTTTAGGGCTGAACTATTTGGGCAAAGTATCTAATTGCAATTTTTCTGTTTAATATTGCGACTGCAATTTAAATTGCGATTACTTGATATAAATAAAGATATAGGCCTATTGTTTGGCCAAGTAGACCAGCAGATCCACTTTATTCGGCTTGAGACTTGAACCCAGACTGCCAGTTAGATGTAGTTGTGATGTCATAGTACATAAGTGTTTGGTTGCTTCTGATTAGTCTAACGCATCAGCTCCATGTTAACTTACCTAAATCCTAAGACAACAGTGTTTATCATGTAAGGTATCTTTTGCAGATTTTGTGATTTGGAAACTGCACTCTTTGAGATTGTGATTTAGGTACAAAAGCAATTAATCTTTCAGCCTTTCTTACATCTCAATGATTGAATTATGCGAAACTTTGGAATTCCCCTTCTACTGTGGGACGGCCTGGGCCCCATCCTGCTGTTAATAATCCAACAGGAAGTGCTATTCTAATCCTCTACCTGTTCCATAATACAGATTGACTAAGTACCACAGCACCTCAGGACCCACCCAGCGACCGCCACCAGGTACACCAACACCACACTACATTCAGCCCCTTCACACAAACCGGGCCTTAAACAGTTAATTTCTTTCCTTGCTGTTTTTCCTTTTCCTCTCTCTCTCTGTCTCTCTCTCTTTTTTCTTTCCTCTCTCTCCTTCCCCCAGCCCCCCCTTCTCTTCCCTTCACTCTGCACTCCCCCTCTTTCTCTTGCTGATGGACTCTTCTTTTTATTTTCACACTCCACCATCCCCCTTTTCTTCTATTTTTCTCTCTCCCTTTCGCTCTTTCTCTTTTACTGCATTCTCTCTTTCAGCCTTCCATTCCCTCTATCTCTCTTTTCAATCCCCACCCTCTCATGAGCACCCTCCCTTCTCTCTCTTTCTGTCTTTCTCTTTTCTTTGACCTCATCTTTTCTTATGCTCTCACTCTCCCTCCCCCAGTTTCTCTCTTCCTCCTTTTTTTTGCTGCATTCTCTCTTTCCCTCCCCCTCCCCCATCCCCTCTCTCCTCCTCTCTTTCTCTCTTTCTATTTCTCTGTCACCCCCCTCCCTCTATACCTCTGTCTCTCTCCCCCTCCCTCTTCTTCTTATTCTCTCTCTCTCTTTCTCTCCCCCATGTCTGTCTCCCTCCCTCCCTCCCTCCCTCTCTTTCCAAACTGCTTTTCTCTCCCTTTTCTTTCTCCTTTTCTTTCTTTTGTCACTCTTTTTTTTTCCTTTTTTGCACTAGCTTTCAGACATTGTGTAACGTCTTGCAGCTTAATTATTTGAAATTTGGAAATAAACAGACCTGGCGTAACTACCCACAGCTACTCTAGGAAGTAAAAAATTTCAACACACCGTACACATTATCTGACACTGACAACGTACCTGTGATTACAGATGCGTGTTGATAGCTTGAAGCATGTTTGTGTGTTTGAAGAACATGTCTCTGAGGTGTGTGTGTGTGTGTGTGTGTGTGTGCACGTGTGAGTGTGTAAAGAATAGAACCACAAGCTTTTGTTTGTTTGGGCTTTTTAGAGAAATATGTTTGTTGAAGGGTCATGCTGTATTGAGTGTGTGTGTGTGCGTGAGAAAGAGAAGTAATACAGAAGTGTGTATGTGTGCGCCTGTGCATTTGCGTGTGAGTAAGAGAGAGAAAGAGCGAGAGAGAAAGAAAAGAGAAAGAGACGGGGAGAGAGAAGGGAGGGGGAGAGCGAGAAGGAAAGAGAAAGAAGAAATGGGTGTGTGTGTGTGTGTGTGTGTGTGTGCTTTAAACAGAAGAAAGAAAGAAAGAAAGCAAGCAAGAGAAAGAAAAAAAGCGAGAGAGAAAGAAAGAGGGTGAGAGATAGAGGGGAAAACAGCAAGGGAGGGCGAGAAAGAAAAAGATATAGACAGATAAAAAAGGGACACATTAAAAGAGAATAAGAGAAAGAAAGGGTGAGAGAGAGCGAGAGAGAGGGAGCGACAGTGAAAGAATAAAAAGAAAGAGCCAGAAAGAGAGTGTGTGAAAGAGAGAGAGAAAGAGAGGGAAAAAAAGAAAGGGCAAGAGAAAGGGACAGAAAGCAAAAGAGACAGAAATAGGAAGAGAATAAGAGAGGGAGAGCTAGAGGTGAAAAAAGCAAGAGATAGAAATATGGAGAGATTAAAAGAGAGGAAGAGCAAGAGAGAGAGAGAGAGAGAGGAAAGAGCAAGAGAGCGAGATAGACAGAAAAAAAAGAGAGCGACAAACAGAGAGCGAGAGAGAGAGAGAGAAAGAGGCCGGCACAGTCAGTTCTGATAACAGCAACAGTAGGCGGAGGATGAGCGGAGGGACCGCCCCTTTCTCTCCCGCAGATATAAATAGGAGGAGGGTTTTTTTGCTCCACACTTCACTTGAAGGATGAGAGCCCTGAAACACCTTAAACATCACACCAGGAGCAATGTGGTGAGTACTCAGCTTTAACCCAGCTCAGTCTGAACACCGCAGACGGGCCTGCGGACCTGTTTCATTTGAGTTTTTTAAGTTTGTTAATTGCTTAATGAAAAAGTTTTGACTTTTTGATGCTTTCTCTTAAAATTAGGGGTCATGAAATGAGTTTTCAGAGTCATTTACTGATAAGAGCAGTCAAAGTTCTCTCTGCTTTTCTGTGTGGCCTTTACAGCACTCTTACCGTCTGTTTCAACTATAGTATGTCTCTTCTTATCTCTTTCTGTTTCACTCACTACTCTCTCTCTCTCTCTCTCTCTCTCTCTCTCTCTCTCTTTCTCTTTCACACACACACACAGAGTTACCCTCAAACATAGGTTCATACCTTCATTGTCTTTCTGGTTTAACTATGGTATGTCTGTCTCTCTTGTTATCTATCTGTCTCTCTCTTTCTTGCTCTCTTTCTTTTATTTATCATGTCTTAATCTTGTAGTTTTTATTTTCTAAAACTATTTTTACATTCAGTTCACCTCTCCTCTCAGAGCTGTGGCTGCTATCCTGCCTGACTGGCTCTCTCTTTCATTTGTCTTTCTGTCTTTCATTTTCTCTGCCTTTCATTTTGTCATGTTTTTTTTTTTTTCTCTGCTCCTTCTCTTTCCTACTCCCTCCCTCCCTGCTCTCTCTCTTTTCTCACCCTCTCTCTCTCTCTCTCTTTCAGTCTCTCACTCCCCGCAACCCCTCCCACTCCCTCTTTCTGTCTCTCTCTTTATCTTTCTCTCTCTTGTACACGCTCTCTCTCTCTCTCTCACTCAGTTTCTCAGTCTCTCATCCCCCACCACCCCTCCCTCTCTCTGCTCTTTTCCTCTCACTCTTTCTCTCTTTATCTCCCTTTATCTTTCTCTCTCACTCCCCTCCCTCCTCTCTTTCTCTTCTCTCTCTCTTGCTCGCTCGCTCACTCACTCATCCCCCACCCCCTCCTTTCTTTTTTCCTCTTTCGCTCTCCTTCTTTCACATGCTCCCTCAATCACCCTTCTCTGCCTCACTCTTTCACTCACTCTCCTTTCAATCTCTCTCTCTCTGTCTCTCTCTCTCACTCAATCTTTCCTTGTCTCTCTCTCCCTCACTGTCTGCTTTAAAAGCAGTAATTATAAATGACGTGGTTATCAGGGCATCCAGGTTCCCCTTCTCTCTCCTCTCTCTCTCTTTCTCTCACTTCTGCCTTTCTCTCTCTTTCCCCATTTTACAGCTGTCAATCACCATGACTCTCTTTCACTTGTGTATTCTCATGCAAACTGTTTGCATATGCACAAATCCATATTCACCCAGGTTTGTGTATCTACACCTATCAAGGTAGCACCTTGTTACAGATCTGACCTGAAGTGTTAACGTTTTTTCAAAGGTGCATTGCCCAGAGAGAGCCTGTGACAACGTCTCTCCTATTGTACCATTGTTTACAGCTGTTTTGTGCCAACCTTTAGTGGTCTTAAAGCTACGATATTGGCTATGAATGGACTCTGAAGCAGAGCATTTGAGTTCACCATAATTAGCCTTTCCTCTCAGCCTTGGGCCAAGCTGTGCTTATGTGTTGTTGTGTTTTCTTGCAGAGTTGAACTCTAAACTCAAGTTTCTTGTAACCACATTAGCATTAGCTTTGGAAACTAGCATGCTAACAGCTCTCTAGGTCAGCAATGGCACAACTTGACTTCACAGGAAATGCTGTGGACAGTCCACGGATGTGGACTTCCTGGTTAGACCTGGGCTCCCTTTGTGCTCCCCGTTCTTTTAAAGGCCGTTGAGGAAGGAAGCATGGTGCTTTACATAGATCTGCTTTATCTTCTCATCTAATGTGCTCTCAGCCTTTTCTGAACACAGAATCTCTCGCTTTCTCTCTGACCAACCTCAGAAAGAGTATACCGGAATTTTTTGGGAGCTTTAGGAGGCAATGTTTACTGCTTTTAAAAGGAAGTAGTGTCCTGTCTGCTGCCCTACATTTGTCACCTTGGTGGTTCTCCCTCAGACTCTTGACTCTCTTTTGCTCCGGTAATGCTGTTGCATTGACATGGTTGCTAGAGTTCTATTGTAGTGACTGTTGCCATGACTCCACAGTACAGTCTTTGTTGCCAGGGCTACTGTAGTAAATCTTTTGCCATTGGATTTACTGTTACCATTAGCATTACATTGACTGTATGTTCTCTGTTCTCTTGAAGGAGGAGCAGGAGCAAAAAGTTCCTCTGGTCCGCTGCTACACCAAAGTGATGGAGCATGCAGTGGATGCTGGCACACAGACCGACCCTGTGGTGGTCCTGTCTCTGGCCCAGGCTGCCGTGCTGGGCCTCATATCTCAGAATGAGATCTTTGGAGCCACCATTGCCCCCAATGGCTTCTACACAGGAGAGGCGCGTGATGGCCCCCCTCCCCCTCCAGAGACGATGGAGTACGAGTATGCAGACCAGCTGATTGGGGCCAATGGAGACTACCTTGCTGAGCCCGATGGGGATGACAAGAGGCTAGAGGGTTCTTATGGGGCTGAGCGGAGGCGTCCAGGGCCCCGGGGAAGGACCAAGAGACCCCGAAGTGAAGATGAGGCAGTGGCGCCGACTGAGAAGTCCCCAGAGATACAGACTCATGTGAAAGGAGAGAGGCCTGACTATTCCAGCCCCTGTTACCATTCGCATGTTCATCATACTGATAGCGAGTCAGAGGTGTTGGACCTTGCACCCCACAGGGTACTATTAAAGGAGGAGCAGAATAGCAAAGACTGCACAGAGTATGTGAACGAGCCGAGCAGCCAGCAAACTGATGCAGACTCAGATACGGACTCTCGGGCTGCTGAACGTAGCCCCATGGTCCGAGAGAAAGCAGTAGCCAGCCGATCTGAAGAAGGTGGGAAAGAGGAAGACCAGGAGGAGGACAGAGCATTGAACATCAAGACTCCAGATGAGGAGGTGAGCCCTGTGATGAGGCGTTACTATGAGTCTAGTGTGGTTGCCTATGAAGCTGCCGAAATGGGTCTGGCAGGGGATTACGAGGAAGGCGGACAGGCAGCAATGTGGACTGACGGCGAGAATTCCATTGGCCGTCGGATGCAGATTGACCGACTGGACATCAATGTGCAGATCGACGAATCGTACTGCGTAGATGTGGGCGAGGGCCTGAAGCGCTGGAAGTGCCGCATGTGTGAGAAATCGTACACCTCCAAGTACAACCTGGTAACACACATCCTGGGCCACAACGGCATCAAGCCACACGAGTGCCTGCACTGCGGCAAGCTCTTCAAGCAGCCCAGCCACCTGCAGACACACCTGCTCACGCACCAGGGCACGCGTCCACACAAGTGCACCGTCTGCAAGAAGGCCTTCACCCAGACCAGCCACCTCAAGCGCCACATGCTGCAGCACAGCGACATCAAGCCCTACAGCTGCCGCTTCTGCGGCCGTGGCTTTGCCTACCCTAGTGAGCTGCGCACCCACGAGGCCAAGCACGAGAACGGCCACTGCCATGTCTGCACACAGTGCGGCATGGAGTTCCCCACACATGCCCATCTCAGGCGCCATCAGGTCAGTCACCAAGGGCCCACCACCTTCCAGTGCACTGAGTGCCACAAATCCTTCGCCTACCGCAGCCAGCTGCAGAACCACCTGATGAAGCACCAGAACATGCGGCCCTACGTCTGCTCCGAGTGCGGGATGGAGTTTGTGCAGATTCACCACCTTAAGCAGCACATGCTCACGCACAAGGTACTAACACAGCAGGCCCTCGAACACAAGGTACTTCTAACCTCACTGCTTTTTGTCATCCTCCTACAGCCTTCTTTGTTTGAATTATGTGAACTGTTGCCCTTGCCTTCCAACTGTGATCCAACAGTTGTTTAAGATCTAAGAACACATGCATAGCAGAATGTGTAATTAATGCAACCCTGCTGGCCAAAGGTTCCTGTAAGAGAGCTTGTTTCATAGCATGTAAAGCAGCACATCGTGAGACTCAGGTGGCCAAAACAGGTTTGAGTGTAAACTGAGCCCTTTCAGTCAGATCCCACCCTCTCAGTCATAGTCATCCAATCCACTTCCTGAGCTGCTCTAGACCTCTCCCCATCTTGCTTCTAGCACCAATAAGGTAGAGACTTTTTTCACATGTGCTTTGTGCTGTGAATGTCATACTGACGATACTTCCGTCACACGTCCCTCATTCTATGACTATGATTCATCCCTTTATGACTGCAGTCTCCGTAAACAAAGTGGGTCACAGGTCAGCTGCATTACAAACCAAAACACTGGGCATGTACTCATTGTGTAGTTAACCTCTCTTTAGCTGCTTCTTTAAATAGGCACTGAACTCAAATAATTTTCTTACAACACTTTACTGTAAAAGGCGTTATATAAATAGAATATTCTACATCATGCATTTGCAGCATCTAAGTGGACACTGATGAAGCCTTCATGAAAATCACATAAGATGTTCATTTCATTGCTAGACATTGTTGTAATGGGATCTGTCTTAAAAAAATTCACTGGAGTTTATTTTTGCCTAAGTACAAGATGAAGAATAATTGGTCAATGTCTAAAAAAACTAGACACTACTGTCTTTTTTTCTTTCCATTTAATCGTTTAATCAAATCTTTGGACTCTTAATCTGCCATAAGAACATTGGACCCCAATACAATACAAGGTTCCTCCCTTATTTGTTAGTTGCACACAGATCATAAATGTTGTTAGTCATATAATATCAGTATAGTATGGCTCCCATATAACCACTATATTAATTAATGATAGGAAAAAAAAACAAAGGCAGATAAGCTAGTACACAACTGCTAGTTGATTTAAGTGAAACAAAAGATAAACTCATTACAATAACCAACACAAACTAAGCATGTGTATGTTTTATTAAGATCTCAGTGTTGGTTATGTAAGAAATCTTTATTACCCACTGAGACAGAAGTCATCATTGGCATCAGTGTACGCAAGATAAGGGAACCTTCTCTATAAAATATAAAGATACCTAAAAAGGACCTGCACGGAGTTAAGGTGCCAACGTGCTGTTAATGTGCTTTTTGAAGGCCTCTGAATGCTTTATGTAAGATCCCATTCAAATATTCCTAATTAATGTTGACAAAAAGTAGTTCTCGGAAACTATCAAACATGTTAACAGTTCAGCTAAGGGCGAGCTGAACCACATTTCCAGACACAGAACATACATTTCTTTCCATTGTCTGGGCACCACAGGCTCTATAACACTTGGTGGAGCTGCTGGGCTCTCAATGGTATATGTAATGGTTGCTGTCTATCTGTCCTGCGGCAGCGTGATAACTACAGCGTGTGCGCATGTTCAGCTTATTTTCCCCGTTCATATTATGAATTCTTGTGAGCAAGCAACAATAGCAGAACCAGCCTATAGATTCAGCAGTGTCTATGGCAACTGCCTCCATTTCTCATTTAATTCCACTAACTCCTTTTCCCTCTCAGCAAGTGCACAATGAAACTGAGCCAACAGTTAATATACGATTGTGTATTATTATTTTTTTTTAAACCAGTCCAAAAAACTGAACTGTTTTTAATTACAATGTACCACTTTGTTGTGTCTCTCTTATAGGGTATGAAGGAGTACAAATGCGACGTGTGCGCTCGTGAGTTCACCCTTTCGGCCAATCTGAAGCGACACATGCTGATTCACACCAGTGTGCGGCCCTTTCAGTGCCATGTGTGCTTTAAGACCTTCGTCCAGAAACAGACCCTCAAAACCCACATGATCGTCCACCTTCCCGTCAAGCCCTTCAAGTGCAAGGTGAGACTGGAGCAATTATGTCATTTTATGACCCCCCAGAATAACCACAGAGTCAGTGAAGATTTTTTTTACTTTGAGAATTGGGTTATTGAAATGCTATGTCAGAGTACAGTATCACTATATTATGATGCACATACACAATGTGCTAGTAGTGCCACATTTAAAAACAGCCATCAAAAACTATGAACACAATTATTTTTATTCTACGTTTCACATACTGCACTGCAGTAAGTCTAATAAACAGGACTAATTATGCTCTTTTTGTCATAAAACATGCAGTTGTGTCTTTAAGTACTGCATCCACAATATACTCAGAAGAGCGTATTATCACTATAATGATAAAATATCACCATATTGCCCACCCCTAATCCCCTCTGATCTGACTGAGTTAGGGGTTCCACGATGGAGGTGTAAACGTGTAACATTTACCAATCTGGTTTTCAGGTGTGTGGGAAGTCATTCAATAGAATGTACAATCTCCTCGGACACATGCACCTTCATGCCGGCAGCAAGCCCTTCAAGTGTCCCTACTGCACCAGCAAGTTCAATCTGAAGGGGAACCTTAGCCGACACATGAAGGTCAAGCATGGCATCCTAGACGGCTCGCCAGAAGGTAACAACGCATGCCCTTGTTTATGGCTCCTTCTTAGGCTTGTTACAATAGAATGCATTTGCAATATGCCCTGTAATGCCCCGAATTGGAATAGTAATTATATTAGTAGTGAGGCTCAGCAATGATGTTAGGGCTACTTAGGTACAATTGAGCTGTGACTCAAAAAATGGTAAGACTTCCATAAATGCTTGTTCGTCCGAGTTATTTAAAGATGTAGTGCATGATCATGACAAAACAAGTACATTTGTCAGACTGAAGGGATGCCTGTGATTCAGAACACAACATGACAAACCATTAGGGCTGGCATTTGCGTCTGTGTTGTCTAATTTTGTATTGGGTGGATAGCATCAGATTCACTGATAGCTAGTTAGCAGAAAATAGACGGCAAGTGAAATGTGAAAAGTGAAGTAGCACAAAATATTCTACTGTACTACTAAAAAGAGTGAATGCAGCATATATGCCTATTGAGTGTGGACTCAAGTGCTGTATTTCCCTCTACAGACACCATGCCTGACATGGAGGGCCAGGAGGACTATGAGGAGGAGAGCTTTGACTATAGCGAAAGGGAAAATCTGGCCAGTAACAACGCACAAGACCTGGCGAAACTGGCCGAGATGGGCTACTACAACTACACCAAGGCTGCTGCCCGTTACGCCACAGCGTAAGTGGCTTCATAAGAGACTGAAACAGCCATGGTTGTTCCTGTAGCCCTCATGGCTTCAAGAAGGACCGATGAGGAAATGGCTGCCTAGTCACTGTGCACTAGGATCCATTTTAAGTACCCTGTAAGAGGAAGTGAGATTTTTTTTCCCCTCCTCGCTAGAAACTGTTACTGAAGTTCCATTTAAACTGAGCATAAAGCTACATTTAGAAGTCACACCATCAGTAATAAAAGGAGGACAAATACTGAAAATGCATTTTGATGAGTAACATCCTAACGCCATGTTCAACTTGTTGGACAACAGTTAAAGAGTAATATTTGAGCCTAATTTAATAGTGCAGTCAAACAGTATGTACAGAGGCACTTATCCAGAAAGGACAATCCCGAGCTCTTTCAAAGAAATTGGAGCAACTGGCATTGTAACTGACTTAATATTAAAAGCACATTGGTAAGCAGCTATAGCTCAGTGGCTACTTGTCCTACAAGTCAGGAGCTGCTAGAAAAGGCCCGTTTGGACATAACCAAAGCTGGCAAGGTGCAAATTCCTACTTTGTTTATGTTTGGCTTTTACCACTGTGGTTTTTAATTTCTTTTGACATAAACCATAACACCAGAATCTTCCTCTGCAGTGTTTGCTGTGATTTTCTTTTAATTTTTTTTTTTTTTTTAAATAAAGCATGTGGGATTTGTGTCCAGTGGACTGACCAACTACGAGGAAGCCTTAGTGCATGTTGCATTCTGGGTTTTCCTGGGGCAAGTCCACATCACCTTCCGGACACAGTTCAGTATTGTACCATTAGGGTATAACGGAGCTTGTATTTATTGTGAAATGTTATTTTCTTGGCATGCTCAAGAGTAACAGACTTTTTGATGTTCCATATTGGGAAAGCCCTGTACCTTTACATGTCTGAAGTGATAGCTAGGGGGAGAATGCAGTGGTGATGGCCTACTTTTCTTTTTACTATACCTGGAATTGAATTTCATGTTGCGTTTGGTCACGCGGCACTGCACCATAAGGAACGCTGTGTCAAAAAATCACCAGAAATAAATGTACATGCCTTCATTTCTATGACTATTGTTGGTCTCCAGGGCTGAATGTGAAGATGATGCCCTGAAAAACTTTGGACAGAAATATTAACTGCCCTTGTGTCTGTAAGAGAGTGTGCCATCCATCATTGCTGCACAGAGCTCTGAAGTGATGAACGACAGTCTGCAGACATGTGACAGGGCCAGAGACCCAGCACAGAGTGACTGAGAAAATTTCCAATGTATTCTGTTTCTGCTTAGCTTTACATGGACACCCGCTGCCCAACCAGCCAGGCAATGCTTCGTTATGTTAATATGGCACATTTAAAAGAGAATGGGAGACTGGGAGTTTTGCTGTTTCAGATTGTGTCCTTGAGGCTTGAGCCATCATGCCAAGCTGCTGAGGGCAAGTCATGTTTTAGTTTTGTATAAGCTTTCATTCTTTTGTTGCACATAAATATGTATATGCTGTTGATAGAGTTCTATGTTGAATGTTGTGCTCTGGACCATACTGTATATTAATACATTTATTTGCCTTTAAAAAAGTGTTGTGTCATGTTTATAAATAGTACAAGAGGAGAGGTTCAAACAGATTTATTAGAGGGTTCCTGAAATGGCCTTTGATCACTTTGTCCATGGTATAATACAGTATTTGACATACAGTACTTCATCTTACAAAAATAAAACCTTGGAGTTGTGAGGAGAGATGGGTGATGGAGTGGACCAATGGCAGTCTAGCCAACAGCACTGCTACAGACATAACTTCTAGTTTTTGTTTTTATTTTTTTTTAATTTATTTATTTTTTAATTTATCCCTTCAGGCTTAATGCTTGTGGTTATCATGACCTTTAAGTTAAAAATGAGGTACAAAAAGACAAGATGCTTTTCACCGGCCTCCTGTGTTCCTTCATTTACCCAGGGCCTTGTCAAGGTTGGTCTTGATTGCGTCCAAGAAATCTGTGGTGTTGACGTAGTGCTCGTTGAGCTTGACACTGTGGCAAAAGTAAGTCAGGTCACAAATCAGTAAAATAACAGGATACAAAATTAATTTGAAAAAATCTAAGCCACTCACAGTTCAATGGCAACACATTGTACTGAAAACCTACCAACAAAATCGTTATTAATGTAAGAATGGATTAAACACAAACAAGAAAAACTGGTTCAACGATCCCAAATCTCACTAAAAGCTGCATATTTTCTTACTAATATTAATGATACTTGAAACCATTTCTATTTTTATTAATATACATTTAAAAATGAAACAGTAATAAATCTAGAAATGGGTTAAACATTTGTTGGTGAAGCTGCAGCTGTGCCATTGACTGGCAAAAACTTGTGGGTTTTTTTTTCCCCCCAAAAAAAACATTCTGCAATGAGATGTAAACAAAGTCAGAGTGGTTTAAATGTGAAATGCTCCTTTCTAGAGAAACCGACCAAGTCAGAATTGTTCAAAGTGGTGGTGAAAGGAACTGGACGTCAGAAGTCTTTAACGACTCTAAAAGCTTCCTCTCGGAAAGTTCCAACATGAAATGCTTAAGAATGCATTGCTGATAGATGTGCACTGAGCATTTGGCCTAAAATGTATCTTTAAAGTATGCAAGGCCGAGAGATGCATCTGGGGCAAAAACAGTAGAAAACTCCCCGCAGATTGACTAATTTTCACCATTAATAACACTATATATAAAAACCTTAGAAGACCCAAGTAGGTTCACTGATTATTGGTTATGGCTATTTTTTTTCCACTGTAGACATTGTGACCCCCTGGTTCACACTGACTCTTTACAGCAGTGGTAATAATTTCTCTACGGTGCACCATTTCACATCAAACCACTCAATGACTGATTACATCTCAATGAAACGATTAACTTGCGCAGAAATGTTTAAAAACTGGCACGGTTCCCCTTAAAGATGAAGTGTAATCATTATTTTGATTGCTTCAAATCAGAATAGATTTCAGAATGTCACCAAAGTGAAAGGCACTTTAGGTGCACCAGTTACGTGGTGTCTGCAGGCATTCAAGATAAATGTAATACTTTAATATCATTTAAAACACATTCCAGACCAAAATTGCAGCAATACACTATGTCCAAAAGTTTGTAAGCTTCTGTTTGTCCAACATTTGTTATGTTGGAACATTGCTTTGAAGATCTGATCAGCAACAAGAGCATGAGTGAGGTCAGGTACTGATGTTGGATCATTAGTTCTGGATCAAAAACAGCATTATAACATCCCAAAAGGTATAAGATTGCCCTCTATCTGATGCTTGCCACTGGGCATTGTGACCTTTGGTTCATAAAGACACCATGAATTTTAAATGATCACAATTAAGTTTGTGAATCTAATAGAAAAATACTACGTCTCTGTCTCTCTTTGTCTCTCTCTCTTTTCTAAAAAAAAGGGGGAAAACGTGTGTTCACGCCAAAATTAAGGGCCATTGTACAAGCTCAGGCACTGAGGATGGTCTGAAAACATCAGCATCAAGCAGCCCAAGAAAACATTGGTGCAAACAAGCTAATTGAGAAACCTGAAAAGAAAAAACAGTGACCAATTATTGTTGACTACATGGAAATGGTTAACCTACTTGGAGAGCCCATGAATGCAACCAGCCAAATCCTTGGTCATGACTCCACTCTCCACAGTGTCCACACACACCCGCTCCAGAGTCTGAGAGAACCTGGGGGATGGCAGCACCATTAGAACAGCATTCATTGCCCCTACTTGTTCATACTCATTATTTGCACAATCACACTAAAATTTCCATTAAGATGCTCATGAACTCCAATGTTCAAGTGTAGGAGGTGGTACTGAAAGCTCAAGCTGATGTAGAATCAATTATAAAAACGCAAAACACCCAGATTGCTCTCAATTTGTTTTAAAGAAAACTTTTTTGGAGGGGTAGTATTTGTAGCATTTAGGCTGAGAACAAGGGACGGGGTTTATGAGCACACGGTCAACTTTTTTGTGAATTCTGTGGCTAAATGGAACAAGAACAAAATATCCCTAATAATTGGCAGGCATTTAATAAGGAAATGCTGTGACCTTAGAAAGAAGCTCTTCAAAAAACACAGTGGTCATAACATGTATTTCAACCACACTGCCCAGAGAAACCTCATTTTATAACTACAAAGACATTTGAAGAGGCTTAAAGAAAGCCTGCTGGAACCCTGGAAAAGTGCAGGTTTTTAGCTAAAAAGTGAAACCGTAAGTAGAGAGTGCCATCAGCTTGTAACTTGTAGTTATGTGCTTTGGGTCAGCAGTTAAAGCCCTCTACCAAGTTTAATGGCTGTACCTTAAATCTGAGGATAACAAAATGAACGGGTTTTAAAGAGAGGAGATGGATGAAAAAAGGATAGCAGGGGCAAACAGATGAGTGCCATCAGTATGAACTGCAGTTATATGTTTTGGGTCAACAGTTAGACACTTCTTGCCAGTTTGATGGCTATAGCTTAAAATTCAAGGAGGCAGAAAATTATTATTATTACTACTACTACTACTACTACTACTACTACTACTACTACTTTATTTTTAAGGGAACAAACGAATAAATGTAAGAATTAGAAAAAAAAGTGAACTTCTTAACGTCTTAAAATATTCGAGTGCTTCCCAGCTCCGCTCCTGGTTTACTAGACCAACATTTCTGATCTATATCAGAATGAAACGAGTTGTTTAAACATCTGATTAAATAATAGTGTGACATTTCTAAAATGACACTGAACACTTTAAAGGATTTTTTGGTGAAAAACTTAGTGGATGAAGTCAATTAGCCAAGATATATTTGGTGTCCACGTTTTTTATTGTTTATAAATAGAAAGACTATAAATAGACATGGTAAAGTTCTGTTCATTTTATAGTTCACAGTAAGTCATACCGTGTCCTAAACCACATTAACAAGTCTGTGAAACCTTATTAAACACCTGGATTCGGATTGAGAGAAGTTTTGGGCATGTTTTTATGGAAAAGATTAAGTTGTCTATTGCCTTCTAGTGTTTTGTTAGCAACATGAGCCTCGTGGCTCCAGCACTGAAGATGCAAAATGTGGACACCAAACATCTAGCCTGATCGACATGTGGGTTAGGTAGAAAATTTTTTCCACAAAGCCATTCCTGTAACAAACTACCTTTTCAAACAAGAACTTCAGTCCCTTTAACATGTAGAGGACTAATAATTTTGTTAATACTGGTGTTGTCAACAATTTGCGTTTATCCAATTAATGCAGGTTGATTTTTGATAGTTTGGATAGCTAAAAACTATGTGAAATCCGATTCAACTCATATTTGGAGGTGGTTTGAAATGCGATTCCAGTCAGATTTTCACAGATGCGTCTCACTTTGGGCGCTCAAATTGGATTTAAAAGTGTCTTTTGCGTCACTTGCAACGCGACAAACAACGATGATGTCAAATCCTGAGTGACCGATGTACTGGAATTCAAGAAGAGCGCCATAGATTCAGGTTCATGCCAGAGAATTTTAAAGCATTTGGAGGGTAAGATGGTGCCCCTCCATCTCTCCTGCATCCATGTTTTAAATCCGCGTCACCAGCGTAGCTACTAAAATACTGACACCTACGTCATTACAACAGCAACCCGTGTGATAGGCTGGCGATGTCTGCACGCAAATGACATTGTGGACAGTCGCCT